CCCCAAAACCCCAAAACCCCAAAACCCCAATTAAATTTATTATACTGAAAATAAATTGTAAGTAAAGATGGGATGATTTCCTTTGACTTTCCCTTTCAGTTCTTAACCTGCTAAATCTATATATTAATAATCTAAGCTCTTTTCCAATCGACTTCGAGATTTTCTGATGCACTTGGCTTCCTTCATAATCTCAGCACTTTATATAGAACAATTCAAAATGATGTTTCTTGACCCATCTTCCGTTAAGAAAAGGAAAACTAATTCAAAATCTCCAAAGAGGAAGGGAAATTCTTTAGAGCCCTATAAATTCAATGGTAAGGCCTAATTCTACTTTCTCCTTAACCTCCCTATAAAATCACCCCTTATAAGCACATTTCCAACCCATCTTCCTCTGTTTTTCACAATATTTCAATCCGATTTCCCCATCTATCCAATACGCCCCAAAACCCTCCTCTGCCACCCAAACTCCTTCTCCTCTAGCACCCAAAGAAGTTCCTTCCTTTCTCTTCTGCCACCCTCTAAGACCCTTAAAGCCAAAAATGTCCAATTTTCCTACTTAAGCTCTAAACCTCACTTCTACACCCAAAGCTTCAGTCAGCCCCTCTCACCTCAACTTTAGAGATGCACTCACGTGTCGGCAAATGGACAGTCAATCAGTAAGCCCAAGTAGTATCTCCACTCATCTTCCTCTATTTTCTAACTTCTCAATCTCACAAAGCGCATAACTCCATAGACAAGAGGGCATTTCTCAGGCCAATCGGTCAAAACCAGTCATTTCAGAAGAAGACAGTGAGATTGAGGAACTCCAGGTGTATAAACAGATGAATGAGGAAGCACAACGGAGAAAAGGTAGGTGCTGGGATTCTGGAGGTTTGGGGGTTACTTGTTTAGAGATGAAGAAAGAGAAGAGGAGGAAATTGGAAAATATGGGGGAGATAGATAGTGAGAAGGTAGGGACTGTGGTGGAGGTTTAGAGCGAAGACCATTTGCATGCCTTTGATGTGCTCAGAGACCAACCTGACTGGTAAGTGGAGAGAAATGAGGTTTAGGCTGAATATGCGCTTTAAAGGGCTGCTTTTTGATCATATGAAGCATATTTCTCCGAAGAAAAAGAAGTTGAAGAAGATGAATATCACTTGCTCTAATTTTGTATGCAAGAGACTCATTAGGTCTATTCAGGATAAGAAAACTAAAAGAAAGATAGTGAAGAACAAGGTAATTTTGTTATGAAAGACTTTAGAAGACAAAGAAAATTCAGCATGTTGAAGAAAAGTTAGCTTCCTTATAATCCCATAGAGATCTACTCCCCCAAACTAAGCGTCTTTCAAACAGATCGAAGACAAGTATTCCATATATTTATCTATAGGAGGAAGAGTAGAATTTGCAATACTTGACAATATCAACTCTCCTGTTGAGCATAGAGGTATTTCGTCATAAAACCCTGTAGAAAAGAACCAGAGCATCAAGCCTCCAAATTTGAAATTTAAGAAATAACCCTAGTGCTAAGGATCCAGGTATCATCAACTGTTGACCTTATAGATGCCAAACAAGATACATTAGGTGTTGGTCATTTATTCAAAGTGCAGAGGGCCAAGACGATTAACTTCAAGAATCTCACCAGAGGTATTACCTTAATGAACAAGACTCCTAAGGAGAACAAAATTACTCCTAGAAAGCAGAAGGTAAGCGGAAGCTAATTCTTTGTAGGCAAAGAAGCGTGATGCTTCAAATATCTCACATAAGCACAAAGCCAAGCCCAAGATTGGTCCTACTCGATCTCGGAAACACTACTTAAGAGGTACTTGCATGGCTAACTCTAGATAAAATTGAGGAGAGATTCAGGCTGCAATTCATGAGTTCAACTAAGAACCAGAATTTCTCATATCAGTAAGGACCCAAGAACTAACATCTAGTAACAAAAGTTTGACTGGAGAATACCATATTATCAAACCCAACTGTTCAAACCAGACCTGGCTTGAGATCGTGAATAATGAGCCAGACAGGGACCACTTGGAAACCACCGTGCAGAAGTTTGATAAAATGTATGGAAGAAAGAACTTCACAACTACTAAAACTAGAGAAACCAAGAGGGACTTCATTGAGGGTTACCCTCGGGTCTCAAGTGCTAGTACCTCTAACAGGAGGATCAGAAATATTGATATAGAGAAATACATGCCTAGAGAGGAAAACTTATTCAACATCTCTCAAGATGATGTAGGGGCATTTTATAACCCAGATAAAGACTATGTGCTTCCCAAGAAAGATATTTCAGTGATTAAATATGAAAACCAGATGAAGAATTATAACTATAAAACTGCTCATAAGAAAGCAATAGTGCCTGAGGTTAACCCTGAAAAGGTTTTAAGAGGATTTCATCAGTTGGGACATGTCAAGAAAGCTCACCCAGGACCTTGCTTCAACAAACAAAGCTCTAGAGAAGTTCCCAAGAGTTATATTTCAGCAAGGAAGATAAGGTCTCTATGTTCATCATTGATGCAGTCAGTTGATTTTGGAGTCTAAGCTAATTTCAATGCCAAGGAATCAGTATGGGGTTTTGGGGTTTTGGGGTTTTGGGGTTTTGGGG